TAGTCATCATGACCTGTGCTCTAGTCTAAGTCCTAGTCATCATTACCTGTGCTCTAGTCTAAGTCCTAGTCATCATGACCTGTGCTCTAGTCTAAGTCCAAGTCCTAGTCATCATTACCTGTGCTCTAGTCTAAGTCCTAGTCATCATGACCTGTGCTCTAGTCTAAGTCCTAGTCATCATGACCTGTGCTCTAGTCTAAGTCATAGTCATCATTACCTGTGCTCTAGTCTAAGTCCTAGTCATCTTGACCTGTGCTCTAGTCTAAGTCCAAGTCCTAGTCATCATGACCTGTGCTCTAGTCTAAGTCCTAGTCATCATTACCTGTGCTCTAGTCTAAGTCCTAGTCATCATTACCTGTGCTCTAGTCTAAGTCCTAGTCATCATGACCTGTGCTCTAGTCTAAGTCCTAGTCGTCATTACCTGTGCTCTAGTCTAAGTCCTAGTCATCATGACCTGTGCTCTAGTCTAAGTTCTAGTCATCCTTACCTGTGCTCTAGTCTAAGTCCTAGTCATCATTACCTGTGCTCTAGTCTAAGTCCTAGTCATCATTACCTGTGCTCTAGTCTAAGTCCTAGTCATCATTACCTGTGCTCTAGTCTAAGTCCTAGTCATCATTACCTGTGCTCTAGTCTAAGTCCTAGTCATCATTACCTGTGCTCTAGTCTAAGTCCTAGTCATCATGACCTGTGCTCTAGTCTAAGTCCTAGTCGTCATTACCTGTGCTCTAGTCTAAGTCCTAGTCATCATGACCTGTGCTCTAGTCTAAGTTCTAGTCATCCTTACCTGTGCTCTAGTCTAAGTCCTAGTCATCATTACCTGTGCTCTAGTCTAAGTCCTAGTCATCATTACCTGTGCTCTAGTCTAAGTCCTAGTCATCATGACCTGTGCTCTAGTCTAAGTCATAATCATCCTTACCTGTGCTCTAGTCTAAGTCCAAGTCCTAGTCATCATGACCTGTGCTCTACTCTAAGTCCAAGTCCTAGTCACCATGACCTGTGCTCTAGTCTAAGTCCTAGTCATCATGACCTGTGCTCTAGTCTAAGTCCTAGTCATCATGACCTGTGCTCTAGTCTAAGTCCAAGTCCTAGTCATCATGACCTGTGCTCTACTCTAAGTCCAAGTCCTAGTCACCATGACCTGTGCTCTAGTCTAAGTCCTAGTCACCATGACCTGTGCTCTAGTCTAAGTCCTAGTCATCATGACCTGTGCTCTAGTCTAAGTCCAAGTCCTAGTCATCATGACCTGTGCTCTAGTCTAAGTCCAACTCCTAGTCATCATTACCTGTGCTCTAGTCTAAGTCCTAGTCATCATGACCTGTGCTCTAGTCTAAGTCATAGTCATCCTTACCTGTGCTCTAGTCTAAGTCCAAGTCCTAGTCATCATGACCTATGCTCTAGTCTAAATCCAAGTCCTAGTCATCATGACCTGTGCTCTAGTCTTAGTCATCATGACCTGTGCTCTAGTCTAAGTCCAAGTCCTAGTCATCATGACCTGTGCTCTAGTCTAAGTCCTAGTCATCATTACCTGTGCTCTAGTCTAAGTCCTTGTCATCATTACCTGTGCTCTAGTCTAAGTCATCTTTACCTGTGCTCTAGTCTAAGTCCTTGTCATCATTACCTGTGCTCTAGTCTAAGTCATCATTACCTGTGCTCTAGTCTAAGTCCTTGTCATCATTACCTGTGCTCTAGTCTAAGTCCTAGTCATCATGACCTGTGCTCTAGTCTAAGTCATAGTCATCCTTACCTGTGCTCTAGTCTAAGTCATCCTTACCTGTGCTCTAGTCTAAGTCATCCTGACCTGTGCTCTAGTCTAAGTCCTAGTCATCATGACCTGTGCTCTACTCTAAGTCCTTGTCATCATTACCTGTGCTCTAGTCTAAGTCCTAGTCATCCTTACCTGTGCTCTAGTCTTAGTCATTGTCATCATTACCTGTGCTCTAGTCTAAGTAATCTTTACCTGTGCTCTAGTCTAAGTCCTAGTCATCTTTACCTGTGCTCTAGTCTAAGTCTAAGTCCTAGTCATCATTTCCTGTGCTCTAGTCTAAGTCCTAGTCATCATTGCCTGTGCTCAGGTCTAAGTCCTAGTCATCCTTACCTGTGCTCTAAGTCCTAGTCATCATTACCTGTGCTCTAAGTCTAAGTCCTAGTCATCATTACCTGTGCTCTAGTCTAAGTAAAATCCTAGTCATCATGACCTGTGCTCTAGTCTAAGTCCTAGTCATCATGACCTGTGCTCTAGTCTAAGTCATAGTCATCATTACCTGTGCTCTAGTCTAAGTCCTAGTCATCCTTACCTGTGCTCTAAGTCTAAGTCCTAGTCATTATTACCTGTGCTCTAGTCTAAGTCCTAGTCATCATTACCTGTGCTCTAGTCTAAGTCCTAGTCATCCTTACCTGTGCTCTAAGTCTAAGTCCTAGTCATCATTACCTGTGCTCTAAGTCCTAGTCATCATTACCTGTGCTCTAGTCTAAGTCTAAGTCCTAGTCATCATGACCTGTGCTCTAGTCTAAGTCCTAGTCATCATTACCTGTGCTCTAGTCTAAGTCCTAGTCATCATTACCTGTGCTCTAGTCTAAGTCCTAGTCATCCTTACCTGTGCTCTAGTCTAAGTCCTAGTCATCCTTACCTGTGCTCAAGTCTAAGTCCTAGTCATCCTTACCTGTGCTCTAGTCTAAGTCCTAGTCATCCTTACCTGTGCTCAAGTCTAAGTCCTAGTCATCCTTACCTGTGCTCAAGTCTAAGTCCTAGTCATCATTACCTGTGCTCTAGTCTAAGTCTAAGTCCTAGTCCTCCTGACCTGTGCTCTAAGTCTAAGTCCTTGTCATCATTACCTGTGCTCTAGTCTAAGTCCTAGTCACCATTACCTGTGCTCAAGTCCTAGTTTGTCTTATTGACCCAAGAAGAGTCAGAGTCGAGGTTGAGTCGAGTCATCATGTATTGATCTGAGTTTCTGCACATTTTAAGACTGGGATCAGCGGGAACTGGCACACACCTGGGCAGAGTTCACCTGGACTTGAGACTCGAGAGAAAACTAGCTCTAGTCCACGTCCAGGAGTCCAAGTCTGAAACGATGCAGGTAACGGACATTATAAAGTGGACCAGGTATATAAGTCAATATCTATCAAAGAAAAAAATATCCAATAAATAATAATTAAAGATCATTTAAAACAAAACAAAATCATGTCAAGTGAAATGTGAATGTGTGAAAAGGTTAACTAGTAAATATCTCAATATAATAATATCTCTAATTATAATAGCAGTATTTTTTCCTGCGTGTTCCTCGGTTCTGTTTTCGCTGCATCTTTATTAAATCTGCTCTGACAGGAAGTGGATATATCTGTGTTTGATCAGCTGCTCGCCTGCAGGACAGACGATCTGAGGCACGCAGCAGCTGCTGATGGATCTGTGATTACAGACGCTAACGACACGCCACAATCAGACCCAATTATAGCTTTCATAATGACTGCTCATCAGGATCAACAAACAATTAAAATAAAGTTTCAGAAGCAGCTCATTATATTTAAATAGAGTTCATTCACTTCAACATTTAGTGGATAATTTCCCAGACTTAGATTATAAATACTGATTCCTTTCATTCAAGCTCAAAAGCAGCATCGAGCCGAATATATCCTCTGTGATAAATTAACTGTGACCGTGCTGTAGTTCCTTTATAGCCCAACATTAGCCTCCTTTAGCTTAGCGGTGGTGACGTGAAGTCATGTGATTGTGCTGTAGTTCCTTTATAGCCCAACATTAGCCTCCTTTATCTTAGCGGTGGTGAGGTGAAGTCATGTGACCGTGCTGTAGTTCCTTTATAGCCCAACATTATCCACCTTTAGCTTAGCGGTGGTGACGTGAAGTCAAGTGACCGTGCTGTAGTTCCTTTATAGCCCAACATTAGCCACCTTTAGCTTAGCGGTGGTGACGTGAAGTCAAGTGACCGTGCTGTAGTTCCTTTATAGCCCAACATTAGCCACCTTTAGCTTAGCGGTGGTGACGTGAAGTCATGTGACCGTGCTGTAGTTCCTTTATAGCCCAACATTAGCCACCTTTAGCTTAGCGGTGGTGACGTGAAGTCATGTGACCATTCTGTAGTTCCGTTTATAGCCCAACATTAGCCTCCTTTAGCTTAGCGGTGGTGATGTAAAGTCATGTGACCGTGCTGTAGTTCCTTTATAGCACAACATTAGCCTCCTTTAGCTTAGCGGTGGTGATGTAAAGTCATGTGACCGTGCTGTAGTTCCTTTATAGCCCAACATTAGCCGCCTTTATCTTAGCGGTGGTGACGTGAAGTCATGTGACCGTGCTGTAGTTCCTTTATAGCCCAACATTAGCCTCCTTTAGCTTAGCGGTGGTGACGTGAAGTCATGTGACCGTGCTGTAGTTCCTTCATAGCCCAACATTAGCCACCTTTAGCTTAGCGGTGGTGACGTGAAGTCATGTGACCGTGCTGTAGTTCCTTTATAGCCCAACATTAGCCACCTTTAGCTTAGCGGTGGTGACGTGAAGTCATGTGACCGTGCTGTAGTTCCTTTATAGCCCAACATTAGCCACCTTTAGCTTAGCGGTGGTGACGTGAAGTCATGTGACCGTGCTGTAGTTCCTTTATAGCCCAACATTAGCCTCCTTTAGCTTAGCGGTGGTGACGTGAAGTCATGTGACCGTGCTGTAGTTCCTTTATAGCCCAACATTAGCCTCCTTTAGCTTAGCGGTGGTGACGTGAAGTCAAGTGACCGTGCTGTAGTTGCTTTATAGCCCAACATTAGCCACCTTTAGCTTAGCGGTGGTGACGTGAAGTCATGTGACCGTGCTGTAGTTCCTTTATAGCCCAACATTAGCCACCTTTAGCTTAGCGGTGGTGACGTGAAGTCAAGTGACCGTGCTGTAGTTCCTTTATAGCCCAACATTAGCCTCCTTTAGCTTAGCGGTGGTCACGTGAAGTCATGTGACCTTGCTGTAGTTCCTTTATATCCTAACGTAGTAAACCTGTCCCCTTTAGGTCTAAGGAGATGATAAAAGACGCCATCCTGGACAACGACTTCATGAAGAACCTGGAGCTGTCTCAGATCCAGGAGGTGGTGGACTGCATGTACCCCGTGGACTTTGGTCCGGATGCCTGCATCATCAGGGAGGGAGACGTGGGGTCCCTGGTCTACGTCATGGAGGGTGAGGAAGCATGTGTGTGTGTGTGTCTTGGGAGATGTTTTAAGCTTGTTGTTTACTATGCTAGCAGTTTCCCTCCGTTTCCATTCACTATGCTAAGCTACGTTAACCAGCTGTTTCTTCATATTTACTGACACAAGAGAGGAGTCCAGAAATAGAGGACTGTGTCATGCTCTATAAACAGGGCCGCCCCTGGCCAACTTGGGGCCCCAAGCGACATTGTGAGATGAGGCCCCCCCCCCCCCAACCGACAGTTGTTTTTTAAA